CCTCCTCCTCCTCCTCCTCCTCCTCCTCCTCCTCCTCCTCCTCCGCCTCCTTCTCCTCCTCCTCCTCCTCCGTATCCTCCGCATAGATGCCGGGATGACGAGATCAGGGCATTTCTTCGCAAGATTTTCGAGGACGAAAACCCGCCGAGTGACCGTACTCACAGAAGGCACGGGGACATCAATGACACAATTTGGACACAGATGGCAAGGAATCTCACAGAATGGCGGAGTATGGAGGACCAGTTCGTGACTGCGACATGAGATCATTCACGCTTTGTTTTTGTTCCAAAAGGGCTGCGGCTCTGCTCGTCCCGCCCAGATGGGCGCGGCTCTACCCGCAGTAGAGCCGGATGGACGCTCGCTCGCTCGCTCGCTCGCTCTCCTCCTGGGGTAGCGTGGGAGCGTCGGTGATGACCATGGTGTCGGTGCGGCAGGTTCCTGCCGCGTTGACGCGGCGGCGATCCCAGCGCGGGCGTTCAGGCTTGAACAGCGGCCTGGGATCTGGCAGTATCGAGCGGCCTGCGCCCCTCGGAGAGCCGCGATAGTTCGAGGTGGAACGATCCGCGCGGTGTCAGAGGCCAGCGCGCGAGTCGTCACGATTTGAACCAGCCGCAAGGCAGCACGTCTGACATGCGGTGTGGGCTCAACTTCCCCGGGTCTGTGGCACGAAATTGCTTCTCGGCCTGTCACGTGCATTGCCCGTCCGACAGGGTACACAAAGCTTCTCAAGAGCACAAGGTTCCGAGATGATGGAGCATCCTGGGCGGCATGATTAGTAAGCAGGTGGCCGCAGCTGCTCCTCGGCCACAAAGTCTTTCAGGGCAGGGCCGTCACTGTCAGGTCCACTGGGGGGAAGAGCGGGAATTCGCAAGGGAGTAGGAGGCGCAAGTCGAGGAGAAGAAGGAACAGCAGCAGGTAGGGTCAGGTCAGAGGCTTTGTGCCAGACGGCTCGCAAGTAGCAGCAGGATGAGCTGCAATTCAGAGCAACACAGATACGTGCGAGCTCGCGCGAAAGCGGGCGTCCTTTCAGGGGCCATCTGCATGCTAGAGCACCTTCACGCTCTCTCTCCCCACACGCAACATTCGCATGCCAGCTCTCCTCTTCCCCTTCAACTGGTGCAGCACCCGTATGAGAAGGGCAGAAGGGGCTCGCTCGAGTCGGGCGCTGGAGGCCGGGCGGAGGGGAGGGAGCAGGGAAACGAAGAGGAGGGGGTGGAAGATGAGGGGGAGCAGGATCAAGGAGGATCGAGGAGAATCGGGGAGGATCGAGGAGGAGCAGGATCAAGGCACATCGAGCATCGAGGAGGATCGAGGAGAAGGAGGAGAAGGAGAAGGAGGAGAAGGAGCACGACCAGGATGGAAGAAGTGGAGGAGGGGCCGGCTCGGAGCCACGACGCAGCAGGTCGAGTTGCACGAGTTCTGCAATGCGCTGCGGGACGCCGCTGCATCCCTGCATCCCCCTCTCCACGATGACGTAATAGTTACTAATAATACTCGCCTCTCTCCCCGATTCAGCCCGAGGGGGGGCGATGTTCTGCCGGCCGCTGTTCTGAAACGCATCGGACTCCAAAAGGTCTTTCACACGGTGTGTTCCCATAGCAGCGATGTTGTGGCTTCAGCATGCTGTTTCCGCTGTAGCGCTGGCTCCCGTCGTTCAGAATGGCGTTCTCGCCCCAGCGCGGGCTTGATGCCTGGATCGAAGTCCTTCCTCGCCGTTGTCGCCCTCCCCCTCCCCTCCTCCGCCTTCCCCGAGTCCTCTGGCTCTTCCCTCTCCTCCTTCTCATGCTTCTGCTTGTTCGGCTGTTCCTCCTCATCCTTCCTCATCCTTCCTCATCCTCCTGCTAACCTCCTCCACCTCCCTCAATGTACAAGGCTCACCTGCTCGCTTGCGGATAGCGCGACGGGCTTATTTGGGGAGTTCTGGTCCCAGCTTGCTATCACACCCCTCGGCGGACACAGCAAAGTCAGCGCAATGGGAAGGGCTGGGTGGGAGGGGCAGGATGTCAGATATGGCGCGCGCGCATAGCTTGCCCCTCCCCCCGTTTCCCCTCTACCCCCCGGGGAGGGCATGGCGTTGCGCACAGGTAGCCTCCCGAGCAGTCCGTGGCGCCCTGGCGGTCTCCATGCCCCAACCTGGGGGCCTGGAGCGCCCAGGGGCGCCCCTGGAACGCGAGGTGCTGAGACCGCCTCGTCCTGCTCGGGGGGGGGGCCTGTCAGGACTGCTCGCGATCCACTGCGTACTCCAGATTTCGTAATAAAGGGATGGGGGGTCTCATTTCGGGGGGGGGTCTCTGCCAGGCTATCTTGGAGGGCCTGGGGGGGTCTGGGGACGATGTTTTGGAGGGTTCTCCCACGGGGGGGGGGTCTGCAATGGCTTGTCTTGGAGGGTCCAGACCCCCTCCCTTTTATTACGAAATCTGGAGTATCTGATCCGATTCCCCAAGCTTCGATTCCGATCTCGATCGGGCCCAGTCCCGCGGCGTCGCACTCGAGGGCGCTGCCCGCGCAGCCGCGAGCCTCCTGGCCGCACGGTGAGAGAGTCGGCCCGGGCAGGGGCCGCGCGGGCATCGGGTGGGTGGGCGACGGGTCGCAGGCGATTTCTGGCCCTGCCAGAAAAACTCACCTCTCAGAGAAGGAGGAGGAGGAGGAGGAGGAGGAGGAGGAGGAGGAGGAGGAGGAGGAGGAGGAGGAGGAGGAGAAGAGAGAGGAGCGAGGAGCGAAGCGGGAAGAGGGGGGAACTCATTCGGGGACACACCGTCCTGGGGGCTGTTCGGACACACTTTTTGATCCGCGCAGGTCAAGAGCGCACCTCTTCCGGTCGAAGGGCTGTTCGGGCACACACCCCTGTCCAGGATGGCCCCCCCCCATCGTGCACCTCCGAGTTGGGCTTGCTGTTCGGCCGAGAGCACCACACGGTGAAGAGAGGATGCGCAAGGCCGGGGGAGGGCCAGAAGATGCTTCTGGCAGCCAGAGCGTCCGCGTCTCGGCGCTTGCCACTGGCCCAGGTGGAGGCGTTGCCGAGTGGGCATCGTCCTCGAGGTCCGCATCGGGGATCGACCTTGGAGGGTCGTCGATCGAGGATCGACCGTGGAGGGCCCAGGATCGAGGAGGAGACCGCCCGCGTGCCTCGCGTCTTCGGCGGACGAGCCAGCGGGGGAGCGCACAAGCAGCCCAATGGGCGGCACCGCGGGCGGCAGCCAGGCGGCGGGGACCCCCCCCGGCCGCCCCTCGGTGCGCTGCGCGCGCCGGCGCGTCCGGGAGCGCGCCCCGCCCTCGGCGCGCGCCGCGCCCCCGGCGGCGGCGCCACGGCGCCACGGCCGGGCGGCGCGAGGAGGAGAGGCGGTCCTGAGCCTCGGCCCGGGAGGGGGAGAGGGAACGAGGAGGAGCAGGAGGGGGTAGGAGGAGGAGGAGGAGCAGGAGGGGGAACGAGGAGGAGCAGGGAACGAGGAGGAGCAGGAGGAGGGGGAGGGTACGAGGAGGGGGAACGAGGAGGAGGAGGAGGAGGAGGAGGAGGAGGAGGAGGAGGGGGAGCAGGAGGAGGGGGAACGAGGAGGAGGAGGAGGAGCCCTGGATCGCACTGCAGGCTCGAGTGGAGGCTCTGTGACGGCGCCTTTTTCAGAGGGTGGTGGCTGCGCCGGGGCCCAGTCCTGAGGACGAGCGTCCTGTAACAGAAGCTCGCCGCGCAGCCCCCGATCTGGACAACGCAGGGCCGTTTTCGGTACCGTCCCCATTGTTCCGTTATTGTGCCCGTTGCCGTCTCCCTTTGGTTGTGTGCCGACTCCGTCATTGTGTGTTGCTCCGATGGCAGGGACGATTCCAGCCTTGTTTTCGGGGGCCGATTTCTGGCCACCGCCCCTGCCCTCGGACCTTGTGTTGGACCAGCTGATGTGTAGGGGTGGTGTACAAAAATCGTGTCCCCAAGGGATGCCATTTTTAGACACAGCCCCTTCTACACGGTCTTCTGCTGGACCAGATTGTTTGCGGGGGGGTGTACACAAGTCATGTTCCCACATTTGTTTTGCCGGGCGGCTCCGCGCGCGGAAGCCAGGCGGCGTGGACTCCGTTGCCGCCCTTCGGTGCGCTGCGCGCCTCTCGGTGCGCTGCGCGCGCGGGGGTCCGGGGTGCAGCGAGCGGGGCAACGTTAGCGAAACCCTGTGGCAACGGACCGCGCGGGACCGAGCGGTGACCTCGCAAGCCCAAGAGACCTCACCGCGCGGTCCGTCGCCGTACGGTCTAGGGACCTCGGAGGCCCCAGTCGCCCCAGGCCTCCTCGGAGCACGACCCGAGTCCTAAAACCGTGCGATGTTCTCGAAACCCTTTTGACTCACGACGCGGGGTGTGGGCCACAGTGAGGCAAGCTCAGGGGTAAGTCCATCCACCCCGTGTATCCTGTTGATCGCCGACAGGGGCCCGATAGCTCGCCCAGCCCAGGAACGTGCGGATTCTCGATACGTGGCCTATTGCCGATGTATCGGCGGTGTATCACCGATTCCAGGTCGATGTGTCCCCTCTTGCACCAGCCCCTCCTTAACTAACGTTGCCCCTCCGCCCAAGAGCCGACCGACGAAATTCGCGCAGACCTCCAAAACCTCATGTGCATGCCGTTTTGGCGGGTTTTCTGCCATCGGATTCTGGAGCTGGCCAGGCGGAGGAGTCGTTTTGGGCGAAAGTCTGCGCAGCTTGCTCCATGGGTCCCTGTGTTGCCTTTTTTCTGCGCTCTTTTGCAGCAAGGGCTGCGGAAGGCAGCTCCAAACTGGTGTTCCTCCTCAGCCTCCCCCCCCCCCGCCCCCCCGCCTCCCCTCTCATTCCGCTCCCCCCCCACCCCTCGCGGATGGGGACGGGGAGGAGGAGGAGGAGGAGGAGGAGGAGGAGGAGGAGGAGGAGGAGGAGGAGGAGGTGGACGCGGAGGAAGAGGACTGGAGGCGCAGCGCGGGGACTGCCCCCAGATGCTGGCGGACCTGACTATCCGCTACAGCGTTCCAGTTGGACGCGCGCGCCCTCGCCGCTGGTGCGGACGGCGACGGCGCGGTGGCCGCCGAGGGGGAAGCGGACAAACGCTGGCAGTACCTCGAGCGGCGCGCCCCCTGACCGGTGTTCCAGCTGGCCTACGAGACATCGGGCCGCCTGGGCCACGCCGCGCCGCGGCACCTGCGTTGGCTTGCGCGGGACCGCGCGCAGGGCCTGGGCGACGGCCCCGCCGCCGAGGCGGCCGCGAGCGCGCTGGCGCGGCGCTGGGGCGCTCAATTCAGCGTCGCGCTGCATCGTGCCACTGCGAGGCAGCTGCGGTTCCCTCGAGCGCGACCGCGACGAGGAGGCAGCGGCCGGCCGTGCGGCTGCGGAGCCCGCGAAGTCGAGCCAGATCACCAACGTGAGCACGGGGGGCTGCCCGAAAGTATGGCGGCCCAGCGATCTCCGCCCCCGCGAGATCGCAGCGCTGTGGGCGGCTTGGCGGTTCGCCGCAGGCGCTTCTTCGCAACCAATTCAGAGTTGCATCGCCCGCCCAAGACCAGCGCCAACGAGGACCTTCACATCGACAGCACCACCCCCGACATCGACGCCATCAGGCAGTCTGTTGTTCGACAGGCTTGTCACCGAGAGGGAGGATGTGGCTGAGGGTTCCTGCGCCATTGGCCACGTCCATGAGGCCCGTGCTGTTCTACATGCGCCACGCCATCATGGTGCTAATCGGCGCCATGCATCATGGGCGCCCCGACCTACGATCCGACCAGCAGCACCTCCAGCGCGGCCCACCCCAAGGACCACTTCGTCCACGAGACCGCGATGGCTGCCGTCCGCGGAGGCGCTGAACGCCAGTCGCAACAGGACCAACAGCAAGACCGCGAACAAACCAGGACAGCACAGGCCACATCAGCGCAGCAACCCTTGACTTTTGCCCAGTCGCCCTGCGCGTGGGGAGGCGCGCAGATACCCGAGACAGCAGCGCGCAATCAAGTGGCCTTGCCAGCCAGTCCCCCCCGCGCGGGGGCCGCCGCCGGCGGCAGTCTCCCAATGGGCCAGGTCGAGCGCGCCGCCCGCGCGACAACCGCGACAGCGCAGCAAACCTTGTCGACTGCGAAGTCACCCCGCGCAGGAGGGGGGAGGGGGGGCACATGCTTACCTGAAACAACACACACGCACACACACACACACACACACACACACACACACACACACACACACACACACACACACACACACACACACACACACACATGACGCAGCAACCCCCGATAGCTGCGAGGTCGTCCTGAACGGAGGAAGGGCGCCAATTTACCTGCGACCGCCGATCCCAGCCTCGATCTCCTCGTCGTCCTCAACGTACTACCCGGGCCCAGGCTTCGGAGTCCGCGTCGACGCCGGAGACGGCGCCGCCCTCGAAATATTCTCAGTCACCGACGAGCTGACTCCGACGCCAGCAGCGCGGGCTGGAGACCA